ATGTTGGTTTCGAGAACATTTTCAAGGAAATTTTAAATATGACGCAACGTTATTACGAATTAAATATTTATTCACTTAATCAAGTCTAATTTGCGAATGGTATAAAAGGTGCTGAATTTCATTTTTATTCGTAAAAAAAAGTTTTAACAAATTTATTAATAACGTTCATTTATTCATCAAACACATGCGAAAACGCACACAATTATAAAGTATAAATTGGCGTAACCATCTGTATGATTCAAGAAGAACATGTATTTATTTATTTGCGAACATCTGGTAGCCATCTTCATTTCCTTCGTCGTCTACATCACTTTCTTCATCATCTTTATAAATTTTTCATCATTATCTCTATCATTTCAATTGTCATTGTCATAGTTTGCATATTATTATCATTAATTTAATTTAATTTAATTAATTTCATCGACCTCACCTATTCATCATTATTGTCCATGTTTCATTTCATCATAATCTACACCACCTTCACACTCACCAACGTTATCAAAACATTCACGTTCCTTGTCAACATCTTTCTCGTCATCTCTATCATCACATTCCTCGTCGTCTTCACCAATTTTTTAACCATTAGCTTCTCATTTTGTTATCATAATATTCTTGCTCATACCACTATTTACTCACCTATTCTCAATACAAAGAACAAATAGTGATCATCTATTTAATTTTAATCATTACCATTTTCTTTTCCACTCACTGCTTTTATTTTATAACATTTTTCAATTTTTTCCATTGTAGTCGCACGCCACTAAGCGCAACCACATTTCACCTTGCAACCACGTTTCAACCCGCAACCATGTTTCAATCTGCAACCATATTTCAACCTAGAACCACATTTCGTCTAAAACCGCATTTTGACGGACAACTACATTTCGACCTGAAAACATACTTTAGACATCGTTTCTGACTACATTCAGACTCAAATTCTCAATTGAAAATTTATTCAATTAATTTTTAGTTTTAATTGAATCACGCATTTTTTATTTAGCTGGGTTTTAGTTAGACTTTACCAAATTTTTAAAAACTTGTAAAGACATTTCACCTTTACTGCTTCCAACATGTTCAATGATACATGGCTGTTGAATGTTCTGCAAGGATTTCACTTTTTAATTATTTTTGATTGATAGAAATAACGGATGACGGAAACTACTTATTTATATAATACATTTTGACCAACATCTATAACTATTTTATAAATGTAAAATTGGCAATTTAGCTGCAGTAATAAACAATTTTAGGTAAGGTCCACATTTAATTAAGTTCGAAAAAATTTAGCGTGGTAGAGACACACACGTAAAGGCACACTCAAGCACATGCTAATACACAAGCTAATACACAAGCCTGTGCATAATTGCGCACGCATTTTTGCATATCATGCTAACTTGAAACAATCTCTCTCCTTCACCCGATTTCATTCGTTCCAGAACCTCACTCAGTGTCGGTGGTACGAGACATGCGTGCGAGACGTCATTACGTTTGGAAATATTTAAAGGTTGCCCGCATTGCTCACTTCGATCTCAAATTAGTAAAATTTATAACGTTAAAACTTTTCGTATTAATGTATGTTTTAATCTCATTATTCATTAATCTCATTTAAATTTCATTTGCAGTAGGCTGATTAAACTTGAAAATGCTAACTATTATTTGTACAACTTTCTTCAACCTAACAAGCAATAAATAACTTGTACTTTCAGTGTTCATTTAACCTCGCAGAGAAATGGATATGAAACTTTTTCAAAAGCTGTAAAATCTGTCAGTGCCAAATTAAAAAAGTTTAGAAGAAAGCCAATAAAAGTGATAACGCTATGCAGTAATTGTACAAAGATTGACAAAGTTTTTGCGAAAAGATATCGAGAGATGCAAAAAAATATGAAACGACAGGTTTGAAACGCTGACCTTATAAAGTTATTTCCTTTGCAAAAAAAAAGTAATTTTTTGTTAACAAAGATTGTATGAGCTCGTCAATGAGTGGAGCTAACAAAGTTCTGGCAACAAAAATATGAACTGAACGTATGAATGACAAAAATGATTCGTGGAAGAACAAACAAAAATACGATTCAAAACTTGAATGCCAAACCAGCAGGTGCACTATTGAAAACAACGGCATTTCAAATGTGCTTGTTAACAAATTTATTCACATGCAAAATAAAAAACAAAAAGAAAAAATAAATTTAACTAAAAAAGATCAAATATTGGCTTATAAAAGCATTTAATTACACAAATATATATATATATATATATATACATATATATATTTACAATATTCTATAAATTCTACCGAATGTTTGGCGTTAATATGTTTGTAGTTTGTTTTTTCGATTTTTTTACTAAAGTTTTTTGGTGAATTAAAATTCAAAATAAACAAAACACCAACTACACGCATCTTAAAATTGCAGAAGCAGTCCTAATTGACATCAATAAACCAAAAATAAATATACAACAAAAAATGACAACCTCACTTCCAACCCAGCGCTTAATCAACAATGAA